CCCCCCGCCCCCTGCCCCCCGCCGGCCAACATAGATTTTTCCTGAACCGCTTGGAAGCAAGGTGAGCACATCATGGCTGTTCACCCCCAAATACTCGAGCGTGTGCGTCTCAAGGGTCGGAGCGCTCCTCCCGTGGATTTGGCGGTCAGCAACCTCAGCAAGTGGGATTCTGATACACGTTTCAATCGACCACTCGTCCTCCATTCCGTCACCTGGCCCAACAGCACCGACTGGCACACCTTCCCCCTGCTACAGGTCTGGTCTTTAGTTTCTTCTCATGTGAACATCCCCACAGTCTTCTCTAACACGTCTTGGAGAAAAATCCAGGTTTCCACAGCAGCTTTCGGCCCAAGACGCGGCTGGACTGAAAGAACCTGATTCCATCTCCCACAGACACAGGGACCAGACCCAGCTTCAGCCCTTGCTGTGACCACACTGCTTTCATAACCAACGGACCACACCATCTAGCACCGAAGGGATAAGGCCTGCGGCCACCCATTTGAAGGTGCCCCCAAAGTGGAGGCGGGGAGGGCAGAGGGTACACGCCTCTCCGGAGGGGCTCTTTTTGGCCACCAGCCCCTTGGCTCACCGACTCATGATACAGTGTTCCCTTGGGGCGTGCAGGTGTCTGTGGGCCCACGGACCGCTGTCTGGGTCAGGGCTCAGTGGACCAGCTCCCGGCTGGGCCGCACACCCAGAATCACCGAGAAGCAGGGACGCTGAAGAGCCCATTTCACATTCGGCCGGGAGTGAACTTAACCAAGACTGACACTAAAAGTGACCTCACTCCCTTCTTGGGATCATCTGCCTTAAGAGCCCAGCAGCCCCGTAAACACAGAACCTGGTGAGGCCCAAGGGAGCCCAGGCGAGCAGAGCAGCCTCTGGAAACAGTTGCCTTTTTTCCCACCTTTGATAACGAGAGAGATGGGGGATCGGAGAGAGAAACGATGCGGGGCCTGTAGTTGACGCGGGGTCAGGAAACAAGACCAGAAAGTCCGGCTGGCACGGCTCCCGCCTGCCACCTCCGGCTGGGCTGACCCGGCACACCAGGCACCCCGCCAAGGACCCTGTGCTGACACGGGAACAGCGCCCTCCCGGCCGGTCAGCCTCCGTCTCCCGAGGAAGGGAAGGGCGCCCGTGACTGTGCAGACAGCAGAGGCTCAGGAGGGCCGCCTGCCTCCGCATGCCCCATCTCGGCCTTTCTCAAGCCACGCAGCAGGACCAGGTCCCCCTGCCAGAGCTGCTCTCAACAGCCTCCTTCCGGGCTCTACAGCAATGCACGCTTCGGCAAAGGCCCTCGGAAGACGCATTGCTATTCGATTCTCAACAGTTCCCTGAAGGACAAAAGGGACGACCTGGGTGGTTCGGCCGGTTGAGCGTCCGACTTCTCCTCAGGTCAGAGCCTGCTTTGGATTCTCTGTGTCCTTCTCCCTTCTCCTCCCCTGCTCGTGTGCTCTCTCTCAAAAATAATATAAACGTTGAAAGAAGAAGAAGAGAAGGAAGGGAGGCCACAGGGAGGAGAGGGGGCAGGCACTTGAAGGGGGGGGGGGTCAGTGGAGAGAGAGGCAAGACCGAGCAAGCTGCCGGTCTGCACAAAATGAGCACAGGCCTCGTTCCCCCAAATGCCCCCCACTGGTGCCCCGGTGTGACACCCCACGGGAGAAGGGGCTTTGGTGGTTCCTCTGCAGAATCGAACCTTCAGAAGGTGCCAGTGCTTGCATTCTGAGCCTCGTATAGGGAGGAGGCTCCCTTTGGGAGTGACCCCTGTCGTGAACATTCTGTGACACAGTCCGGCAGGGTGGAGCAGTGGGTAAGAAGATCAATGACGTCAAAGAGCCGCCAGGTCCTGAAAAGATCAACGAGGCTGAGACACTCTTGGTGTGACAGACGGTTTCCCCGAGTACCACAGCAGTCTTCCCAGGATCCTCTGCAGGGTCACACCGAGTGGCGGGGTCCACATCCCCTCTCTTGAAACGAGCCACCCTGTGACTCACTTTGACCCAAAACAGGGCGTGGTGGACGTGAGGTCATGTGAGCTTGGGGAGCCTCACGTCTAGGCAGCCTTTGTCCTTGTCCTTCTGACACAGGGGCCTGAGGCCAGCGGGGGAGGATGCCTTCTGGAGTAGTGGGGGGTGGTTGGGTGGGAGAGAACAGAGGTGCCAGCTGAGCAGCAAACACTGGGCATGTGAATCAGGCTCTCCGGGCCATCGCGCCCTACGGAGCCTGAAGCTGAGCACACCATGGGAGTAAGAACAGCCTGGCCAAGCCACAGAAACACAAGAAACAAGTCATTGTTGATTTAGGTGTTTGGGTCGATTGCTGGGCAGGAAGAAATAGCTGAAATGGAAATGGGCGTCTAGACGGTGGGGAGGACGCAGAGCATGGGCCCGGTTTGGGGGAGAATGCAGAGCACGGAGATGGCTTCGGGGAAATTGCAAAGCAGAGGCCTGGCTTCGGGGAGAACGACCCATGCCAGGGGCAGGAGGACGAGGGGCAGGACTGTCACCAGTGGCTAACTTGGAACACGGAAGACATGCCTGAACCCATGCACACGGCTGAGACCTACTTCTAGGCAGACTGTTGAGAGTGCCTGTTAGGGCCCCATGATGACGCAGGACGACACGGAAGAGAGAGGCAGGAGCTAAAACAAACCCAACAAAAAAACCCAAACTGGCATCTGCAAGCAGAATTCACAGGATATATGCAGATCAGAATTACCTACCTGGTTCCAAAAGGAAAGTTGTTCACATTTCCCGCTTCAACAGTCAGCAAAATATTCAGGAAGGAACAAATGGACTCAGAGTAAAGACTGAATCAAGGGACTGCAAGGCCTCAGAGCGGTATGAAGCAGTGCCTTATAGACTTTCTCAACAAGAGAAAAGGGGCTTCCAAGGATCTGTGGGGCACTGGTTCATCGAAGCCTGACATATCCAAAGTAGGGACAGGTTTGTCTTGAAAAGAGTTATGGTGATGGTTGTTGGGGGGCATAGAGGAGATTCCAACAAGATTCATAGGAGACCTAAAACATTTTTAAGAGAATTGCATCAGTAAGAGCACTACCAGCTTGGACTAAAAAAAAAAAAAAGA